GGCCTTCCATGCTACCACCACTTATTGCTTTAAGAAGACCATCTAAAACTCGTATTTATCAAGAAGATGAACTTATTTTTTTTCCTCTGAAAATCATAAAATAACTGAATGGAATAGTAAACATTTACCATAAGGTTTTCAATATAAAAAACATATCAGTTGTATTATTTATTACAATTTAAAATTTGATACTCTAACGCATTTTCCGTCGGTTCTTGAATCAATAAAAATTGATCATTGTTTATGTGTAGCTTTGCAATACAAAGGAAATAACGTTCCACTTCCTCCTTGGTTAACTAAAGGCCATAATAGCAAGTTAACTAGTTTGAGTATGCTAGAAAATCTTGCATCGTACATAAAAAGCATAGCTTCTTCTTTTTTTTTTTATTCATATATTTGCATATAACATTTACAAGTTTCGTAAATTAAAGGTGTAGTATTTACAAGTCTCGTGAGTCAAAATATATATAAATATATGAAATTTATAATTAATAGTACAGGCCGGACTTCAAGAAGATCGTAATGATCTTTTCACAAAGGTCTTACAATGTGTTTGATTTATTTTATGATTTTGTTAAATATAATTATATATTAAGTACAACAATATTTTTATAATCTTTAAATTAAGCTTATATTAAAAAATAAACTCAAAATAAGCTCAGTATAAAAAATTAGACATAACAAGCAGCATAATAACTAAAATTGATAAGAAAAAATTAAATGTTATTTTGTGTGTAATAAACAATTTTTGATATATTGTTTGAGAAAGGTAAGAGTCATTTAGATAATACACATAAACAAGTCAGTTCACTTTGTAGTTGATATATATGTATTTTAATTTATAGTCTTAGAAGAATTCCGAGTATCTGTTTAGATTCAGTATCAGATTTTTTAACTTTGTTTTCAAGGAACTTTGATAATCTAGATCGCAAATTAATTTATTTTTAGTTACAAGTTTGTTGTAATAATAAGGACACCGATATGAAATTGAGAATTGGGAAAGTTTTTTTTTTTGATATTTTAGTGTTTAAAGTAGACCTATGTTTTTTGATATTTTAGTGTTTAAAGCATTTATGTGAGCTTTCCAAGATTAATTTTCATCAATTATATCTCCTAAAAATTTAGTTTCGTGAGTTCTCTCAATTACTATATTTTCTATTTTTAGAGAAGGTAGAATATTTGGTAGTGTGTTTCTTTGTTGGTTTGAATGAAATTAAGTGTATTTTATTTTTTCTATGTTTAGGGATAACTTATTTGTTTTAAACAATATATTTAATTTTTGGAGTTCTATGTTTACATTATCATACAGATCCTTGATGTTTGTCGAAGAGTAAAATAAATTTGTATCGTCTGAAAATATTATAAATTTAAGTTTGCTAAAAACTTTTGGAAGGTCGTTTATATAGATTAGGAACAAAAGAGGAGCAAGAACCAAACCTTGAGGAACACCGCAAGTTAATTTTAATAATTTAGTGTGGTAGTTATCATCTGTAATAACACACTGTTGTCTGTTATACAGGTAACTTTTAAACCACTGCAGTTTATGGTTTTTTAATCCGTATTTTTTTAATTTTTTTAGTAGGATTTCATGATCTATTGTGTTGAACGCTTTTGACAAGTCTACAAAGACTCCTAATACGAACTTCTTTTCATAGATTGATTCACTAATCCTATTGACGAGGTCTTCTAATAAAAATATACTTTTAGAAGAAATATATAGTAGAATATATTATAAAGCAAAGGATCAACCACAATATTCTGCAGATATGATCAGACATGCTTTAGTATTAAGATATACATCTAAACAAGAGTATGAAATTTTAATTAATTTTATTAAATAAAATAAATCAAGATAGAGTTGACGCAATAAAGGCTGTTAAATCACTTCGTGAGAAAGGTTTAACACATGAAGATATAATACTAATTGTATATGTATTTTATCTTCAGAAACAGGCACAATATTGTAATGGTGTTTATGAAGGTGCAGATGACAATGGTACTCAGTACAAAAAAGATGTTGCATTTATGGTTGTTCGTTTAAAGAAATCTATTTCTTATGTTATTAAAGCAGTACCTAAAGTTACCATAAGTGGTAAATGGCTTTCAGATCAAATATCAAATTCTATTAGTTCTCTTTCTTTACTTGGTTTTAAAATTCGAGGAGTTGTTACTGACAATCATCAAGCAAATGTAAATCCATTTAGTTTACTTCATTCCAGATTTGGTAATCAGTCAAATATATTTATTTATCATCCCGATAGTCCAAATATTAAAATATACTTATTTTATGATAGTGTTCAAATCATTAAAAATATCAGAAATAAGTTATTACACTGTAAAAAAGTTGTGTTACCATCATTTACACATAAGATAATAGATGACGTCTATAATTGTCCAGCTCCTTACATTACTTGGCAAAATTTTTATCTTCTACATTCTAAAGATGAATAACTTTAAGGTAATTTGAAAAAATCTCTAAAAGTTACATATCAAAGTCTTCACCCTGGTAATAAAAACGAAAATGTTTCTCTTGCACTGTCGAATTTTGATGAATCAAGAACGTTTTAAAAGTTATTTTCCAGAAAGGAATTTCTGGTTTTTTAAGCATTTTACAAAAATAATGGATTGTTTCAAATTCAAAGCAACAAGATAGTCCTAATAAACATGGTAATGCAATATTATATATATATATATATATATATATATATATATATATATATATATATATATATATATATATATATATATATATATATATATATATATATATATATATATATATATATATATATATATATATATATGTATATATAATATACATATATATTTATGTTTAAAAATACACAAATCGGTAGTATGAAAGCACAATAAACCAGTTTTTTGTGAATGTTTTTTTATTCATAACATTTATACTTGTAATAATATATTTATATTATTTATTTAGTCTAGATGAGATATTATAATATTTTTTCTCTATAGTTGCGCCACCGTCTTTTTTTATAAGAAAGTCTTTTAGAAACGGCCTCTAAAATGTTACATACACGGCCGTGTAATATATATATTATATATATATATATATATATATATAATATATATATATATATATATATATATATATATATATATATATATATATATATATATATATATATATATATGTATATATATATATATATATATATATATATATATACATATATATATATATATATATATATTTATATAATACGGCTCATTTATAAAAACCTGATTTTTGTCATAGTTTAGAGTCGTGCTTGCACTATAAATATTTTATTCTTATTTTATTAAAATGGTTAAATAGTAGCTAGATTTTCTTTGAGTACTTACATTATTTTGTGTTGGATTTTTTGTTAACTGATTGCCTGTTTCAGTTTATTCCAATAATAAAGAATACTGAAATTGCTTTTCAGATTGCTATATATCAACATGCTACTTAAAAAAATTTTACATATTGCTAAAATTTTAACTTAGCAGTATCTTGCATAATATTTTTTAAGGATTATTGAAAATTTGATAAATATTTACTTCCCAGAAAATATTTTTAGTAAATATTATAGAGCAGACTTCGGTCAAAATCTTTTTATTAATAAGACTCACAAAATTTTTAAGACTCACAAAAAGTCTACCACTGATCATACTTTTTAAAAACTAGCTTCAAAGGATCCCTTTAAAATTGGTAGTAAGAACAAATGTGTCGCCTTCATTAAACAAATCAGTCATAAAAGATACAATTGCTAACGTTGTTGTAGCAATTGTTGTGGTATTGTAATTAGAGTACGAGAAGTTTGTTTGGTTAATGTAATATATTTATCAAATTTCATTTTGATCAAATTTCAATACAGTTTGCATTTTCTCTATAAAGTGTGGGCTTGTTATCACCTTTCACAGCAGCATTGATGAGTTTGATTGGATGAATTGAGTTTCTGCTTTTAATTAAGTAAGAACTTGAATTAACTTATAAAACAATGACAAAAATTGTGCTGCATTATTTCTTTTAGGAAAATAACTCTATATTGCAGCTGCAGTTGTTTTATCAAATATTACCTATATTATATAAACGGCAAGTTGTCAACTTGCCGTTTTTTTATATAGATAAATAAAATATAATTAATTTTTCTTGAATTTTTTTAGTTCCTGTTTAGTAATGGATTTTTAAAAAAACTTTATGAAATATATTTTCTGCAATGTAACCAGCAGTAACTTCAACTTAGTCTCTGGAAAAATCAAGTAAAAAAGAAGAAAAAAACATATTTTTTTGTATTCAACAAGTTGTTTCTATCATTTTTTTATATAACAGAGTGTATCAAATAATAAGTATTTTTTTAAATACTCCTTTTATTAACTAGATAATAAATAAATAGTTTTCTCCAGTATATGCTTTATTCCAGCTAACACGAAACTTTCAAGCACGTTCGACGAACGTTGTGAACGTTCGAGCACGTTCTGTAAACGTTCATAGAACGTTACAAATGTTAATTGAACGTTTTGTGTAAGCTCGGTAGTAATATAGCTATTGGTTAGAAGACTCACTTAACAGCTTAAGTCTCGCGGTTTAAATAGGCATAACTGAAACACTTAGTAAAAAATTATTTTTAACTTAAAAACTTATTAAAAATTATTTTATATTGGCTAAATAATTAAATTAGACTTAAATGCGTTTTCAAGATTCACTTTTTGAAAGCAAAACGATAAATAAATAATTACCGAGTGTCGGGTGCGCCACTTTAATTCATGGAAATTAAAAAGCTCTTATCGCGAGAATTTATATTCCTAAATGACAACAAATCAATGGACTCCAATGTTTTTAGAAATTATTGATGGTGACATTGACACAATTAAAAAATATGAATTGCTTGTCTCTCGTTATAAAAGTCCTGCTGCAAGATTTAATTTTAAATAAAAAACAGTTTAAATCAAAAAACAGTTTAAATCAATTTTGTAAATGGTGGTATGATTGTAACATTAGGTATTCATCTTTACAAAAGTCAAGAGGTTTAATAACTAAATATTTATCTTTTTATTTTAGATGCATTTTAGCTTAATTTAGTTACATTTCTAACAAAAATTGGTGGAATAGAGCTGGTAAAAACCACTGCATATGTTACGTTGCGAGGTTACTAATTTTTTAATGTAAAAAATAAAGAAATGAAATTTCGGAAACTTCCATTCAGAAAACCCTCTATATGTAAAGTTCTTCTGTGTAATTCCAATTTTGATTTATGAATGTACATTTTAAAATGCTACTATTTTACTCTATTTTCTACAAATTAGGTTACGAAATCAGACGATAAGGATACGAATGTAGATGATGATGTCGCACAAACAGGTGCATGATGAACAAGCGGTAGACGGTGTTCAAGTAAGATTTTTGATAATGCATAAACCAGAGAAAGCAGTGATCCAAAATATTTGTTTATGAGTTTATCGATTTTAGTAGTAATCTTTGACTTAACATTAATGTAAAATTTTATTTTTTGCTAATTGAGATTAAATTTAAAAAAATTTCATAGAAATTTTTACCATAAAATATGCATTACAAAAATCTTGATCATTTAATTTTTTTTAATTATCGAAACATAAACAAGTATAGTGAACAAACATTTTTTCTCTAAATCCACACTACATGATAAAGTTTTGTATAAGTTTAAAACTTTATATATAGTTTTATAAAATATAAGTTTAATATAAGTACCCATTAAGCACAAAAGCGTCTAAAAAAGTTCTAAAAGAGGTCTTTGAGTCAGTCTAAAAGGCGCACTTGTAGACATCTAGATCATCATGCTAAAAGACATCTTCATAAAGACGTCTATGAAAAAATGTGTTTGAGACATCATATAGACGTATATTTTAGGATGCTTTAATACACAAGACGCTACATTTTCAAGCAATATAGTATTCTTGATTGTCATATCGAAATTCAGATAAATATATGCCAGAAACGAAGTAATATATAAAAGGACAATTGTCAAAATACATAATCCACCAAATAACGAGGCCAAATGCACTGCACGAATTAACCATTTTAAAACAAGTACTGATTATTAGGGATGTACCGAAGCTTCGGCTTCGGCTTTGGCAATTTTGCCGAAGCTTCGGTTCGGCCGAAGCCAGGTCAATTTTTTGCCGAATCTTTGGCTTCGGCAAAAAATTTTAAGTAATTAAAGTTATAAGCTACTGTGGAACAAGTTATAAAAATAAGCTAATTGCCAGTGTCTAATAAAGTTATAAATTTAGGACTACAGAGTTAAAGTTGGAGTCTATACCATATACTAAGTATTATTTACTCCCAAGTGTCTTGTTATGGAGGGGATAATAATAAATAAGTAAAAATATTTTGAAAAAAATAATAAAATTGGGGAAGGTCCTCATACACTTTGAAAGCTTCCAAGTGTGACTTTAGATGAACTGAAGCAGCATTTCTATGCAGAATAAAAACCTTATAATTTAAAACAAATTAAAAGTTTTTAGAACCTTAATTTGTATTATGTAACGAATTCATATTAATTATTGTGTGGGATTACCGCAAATAGAACAAAATTTGGTTTCAACATTTGACCGATAAACCTTAGTAATCTCTCTTTAAAGAAGATTAAAGATACGTTGCTACTATTTTAAATTGTGTGTATGTTTAATTTTTTAAAATTTTATTTAACCATATTAATAAAAATTTACAAATTTTCATCGTAAATTTACAGAAATTGGTTAGGTGTCACTTATATAGGTACAAAATAGTCAATGGAGTGACACATAAAAAACAAAAAGTTCTCAACAACAAAAAAGGAAGAAAAGCAAATGAAATATAAACGAGGATAATAAAAAAAGAAGAAAAAAAGCCAACAAAAACTAGATAAATTAAAAGAAAAAGAAAAACAATGATAATAACTATCCTTGCTCTTTTATTAATATTATGAATACTTCTAAATTGAATTTATATATTAAACATGTAAACCAATATTCTGGTCTCTTCTTATGATATTATGAAGACTTTTAAATTTTATTTAAAATAAATTAAAGGTTGAAGCTTTGATTACTTTGAGCTCTTATATTTATCATCAAAATTTATTTAAATTAAACAAACAATTTAAATCAAATAAATATCAGCCTGCTCAGTCCCTGTTTATTTATAAATATAAAGTAAATAATAATATAATTATAAATAAAATATTTATAAAGTATTCTATTTATTATTTTATTTAAAGCTCACTCTACAGAGTTGTTAGATTACTTTGGAAGTTTTTATCACAGATAGTTAATATTTGATTTCAGATACTGATGCAGATTTATCCATTATAGAGACAGAAGAAGAATGAATACTAAGATTTCAAAGTATAAAAGATTAAAAAAAGCTATAGAAAATGTTATGTAGTGTTAAGTTAAAAATAATCAAAAAAAAAAATACTTAAAAGTATGTAAAAAAGAAGTTAGAGAGAAATCTATCATTTGTACTTTTTTTTAGCAGCAGGTTCAGGAATCCAAAATGGTCTTAACTTGGGTTTTTTTTAGTTTAGAAATTGTTCGTTTAAAGAATACAGAGAAGTAAAAAAAAGATATTGAAATAAATAGAAATAAAAAGATAAAGTGTGTTTCTAAGATTTTTTATGTTGTAGATACAACTAGATCAGCTAAGAGTGTTTATTTAAAGAAAGAGTGATCAAGTGCAAAAGATAAATTTACTCTAGTAATGTTCAGAGATTTTTATCCACTTCTATTAACAAAAGGTGCATTAAAAATAAAAATAAAATATACAGGACATGAAAAAATGCTATATAACATTAATATGGTTTGCACACAGAAAAAGTAGAACTAGAAGTAGGAAAATTTGGGGAGAATGTTTCAAAAAAGCTTAAGTTTAAAAAAAAAACGCTCGATCCGGTCAAGTATCAGAAACGACATAATGAGAAACTTTTAAACAGGGGCGCTGAGAGCTTTTGCCCTGCCTGGAAAAGCAATTCTGACTGGCGTCCTCATTTTTATACAATTTTTCTATATTATTAGTCAAGGACCTTAGTTTTAGTACCTTTTTTGTTTTACACCCCTGCTGATCTGAATGCTTATTAAATTTTAAGCATATATAGTGCCGAAGCTTCGGCTTCGGCAAAGTGGCTTTGGCCGAAGCTTCGGCTTCGGCAAAATTTCAGCTTCGGTACATCCCTACTGATTATACAACGAAAAAACTTATATGTAGACAAATATAATAGACATAATGCATTTTACTAATAAAGAAAAAATTGCCCCAAAATTTAAAAACTATATTTTGGATACAATTTAGCTTATGGGTTTTTATTAACTAAAATTAATGATTTATAATATATATCTTTTTTTAAATAATTTTATTTGAGGTGCTCTAAGAATTCTTTTCGGCTTGTCACAGAGCACTGCGGAGGAACATTTTAAAAGAAGCTCGCGCCTCCTTCCTAACCGATATGAAAAAACTTAATTTCTGAAATAAAAATAACAGCGGTACACGTTTCTGATACCACTGCACTACACGGCTGCAAAGATAATTTCATTTTATTTTAATATCAAAAAAAAATATTTTCTCCGTCGTTAAAACGTCTTTTAGCGTTATGATCTAGGCGTCTTTAAATGCGTCTCTTAGACGTCTATTTAAATTTTAATAAAGACGTCTTTCAAACGTCGCATTTATAAAAGACGTCTAAAAGATATCTTTTCAAAAAGCGCATTTTTAAAGACATATAAAAGATGTCTTAAAAATGTTTTTAAAAATGCGTCTTTATCTAGACCAGTTTTAGACGTCTACAAACGTCTAGAATGCGTCTTGTACTTATTGGGTATAAAAGTATAAAAGTTTATAAACATATCATAATTTTTTTTTTTTTTTTTCATACATACATATACACATACATACATATACACATATACACATACACGCATACATATATATATATATATATATATATATATATATATATATATATATATATATATATATATATATATATATATATATATATATATATAGGGGAGACCGGGGTTGGTTGCAACAAAATTTTAAAAACGTAACTTATACCCTTTAAATATATATTTTTTCGATTTTATTTTTCAGGGTTATAAAATAGATTTAAGTTACGTATTAATCCAACATTGATAAATAAAATATCAAATTTAGTTATTCCGCAATAGTGAAACAAAAATATGTTGCATTTTACCCCGCACCGGGGCGAATTGCAACAGTGCACGGGGCAAGTTGCAACACAATACTTTTAAAGTATAAGCTTTGCAGAGTTCACATAAAAATTACTAGTTAATCTGTAATTTCTATTTGGCAACAAAACATTATAATTAAAAGAAAAGAAAAGTAGTATTTTAGACTTGACATGTACCTGACATGTTTAGTAAACTAATGCTTACATTCAAAGACTTTAAAAACTGAAGAAAGAAAATAATGAGGATTATTATTTAAGCTCATATATTATTTAAACTTTTAAGTGTTTTTTTAAAAAAGTATTCCTTTAGTTATTCAGTAAACATTAAATCAATTTATAAAAATGCAAGAGTAGTTTTATAAATAATATAAAACACAACTTTCATAAAAATAAACAATAATCTAACTTTGATAACAAAAAAAAAAATTTCCAAGCAATAAAGGCTCATAAAAAAACAAACTAGCATTAAAGAAACTAAAGAGTTTCATTACATTTCAAGTCAACAATTATACTTTTTTATTGTTTTTTTTTTTGATGCAGAAGTACTAGCAGATTTTCGCTTTCTAGAACTAATTTCTTTTTCAGCCATAAGACGCTGTTTTACTGGTGTATCTGTGAGTACTTCTGTATGCTTTCTCTTTGATCTAGTGAGTATTTCTTTCCTGGGTCGTGCTTTTGGTAGCGGTCTTACAACCTCAGGGGAAAATTTTGAAACTGCAGATGGAATTGCATCTGAGGTTGAAGTTGATATACTAATATCAATAGCTGCATTAGATTGGGTTGCTGGACGATCCGTAACAAATGATGGAGCAAAATCTGCATCTGAAAATATATCCTTATTATATGGCAATATTCCTGCCACTCTAAAACCAGAAGATATATTTTGTTGTGTAAGAGAATGTTGTAATGCTATTTTTGCAATTCCTGGTAAATCATATATACTCATTGTTTTCCCTGGACTACTTTTTATCCATGAGTCTTGTGCATTAGCTAAGCATTTTTTAAATGGTCCGAATACAGATCTATCTAGAGGTTGCAACTTATGCGAACAATGAGGAGGGAAAGAAAGCAAAACTATACCATTATCTTTACACAATGTTATTAATTGAATAGATAAATGAGATTGATGATTGTCTAAAAGTAATAACACAGGGCTTTCTTTTGATGGCTTTACATGTCGAATAAAGTGGTTTATGTAAGTAATAAAGCACTCCTCATTCATCCAGCCTGATCCATTCGAAGCACCAATGCAGCCATTTGGCCCATCACGAATAAAGTGATCAAAGAATTTCTTTCTTGGAAAAAGAAACATTGGAGGCACACTATTGCCATATGCAT